AAGGCAGGAAGCATAAAAGGTGGGTTAAGAAACGAATGGAGCGAAAGATAAAGTGGTAGAGGTTCGAGGGGGATCTCTCCAAAGCTTTGAGCACAAAATGTTAGGGGAAGATGTGTGGTGTATTGATAATGATGCACATGCACATGATGTGTGATTATCAATGGAGTTGACCATTAACAAAGTGGCGAAGGAGATACTTGGAGAATCTAAAGGATGTCTGCCACCAAAAAAGGATATATCTTGGAGGAATGGTGAGGTGAAACGAGCAATAAGGAACAAAAGGGGATGCTTTAAAAATTTGGACAAAAGTTGGAGCGATGAGAACATAGAGGAGGACAAAGAGACTAAAAGAAAAACAAAGAGATCCATAAAGGAAACAAGAGGGAAAGTGAACAAGGAGTTGTATGTAAAATTAGACTCTAAGGAAGGAGAAAAAACTATTTACAGACTTGCTCGTCTTCGTGATCGCAAGACTCTAAGATATCGGAAAAGTTAAGTGTGTGAAGGATGTCGATCAAAGGGTACTAATGGAGGACATTGAAACAAAAGAGAGGTGGATGTCATACTTTGATACCTTGTTCAACGAGAATAAGTGCAAGATATTGATGATCTTATTATACCAGATTGTACGGTAAATTGGGAGTTTGTGAGAAGGATCCAAACGACAGAAATTAAAGAGACTGAGAGAGATGGGGCGGAAGAAAACAATGGGTCCAGATGGCATACCGATTGAGGCTTGGAGAAGTTTTGGAGAAAGAGACATCGAGTAATTAACATGTTTCTTAAACATAATTATGAGAAACAACAAAATACCAGTGAGTTTTCTCGTAATGAGATAGAAGTAGTGGTAACAATGGGATTACCTTTTATGGAAAGGAGATACTGGTCTGTGATATGTTCCATTACTTAGGGTCCATAATTCAGAAGGACGGTGAACTATAGAGGAAGAAAAGGTATACCAACCTATAATGTTATGGTTGTGTATGAATTTAACATGTGTTTTACATTTCTATTAGTAAGGTAGGAGGGATCGGCTCATGATACACGTGTATTCCTTCATGCTATAGAGATACCCTCGTTGAACTTTCCACATCCACCTCAAGGTATATTTTATTGTCCATTGTTAAACTCATATACATAATTTTAATCATATTTTTAAAACTTATGTAGGTATACTCCGTATTATAACTTGCATATCCTCTTAGTGGGCGTGAAGCGACGACTATGGATTAGGGTTTGGAGTGCGGCTCTTCAGCGGCGTAGGCAAGTAGCAGCCAACTAGCAAACAACGATCAATTGTTTAGTTCGATCTAGGAATAATACAATACACGTGATGCAACATCCAAACTATCTGATGATGACATCAATCCTCAGAGATTCGTGATAGAGGTATGAATTACGATTCAATTGGATTGTTCTTTCTTCGGGATGTGTTTATTTTGTTCTATGGCTCTTATTTCCCGGGCACTGCTGTTCCGGGGTGGTTTGTCTCTCTCGATGTGGGGAGTTCTTTTGGTGTTCCGAATAGCTTCGTCTGGTTAGAAGTTTATGTCTGCCTACTTTCGGAGTGCGTAGACATTGGTAGAGCTCGTCCTCCTCCAAAACCACCTCCGTGCGGCGCAGATCATTGGCTCGTCTTAATGTTTCGGAAGACGCAGCAGGGAATTTATTTTATTGTTATTTTTGCTTTCTTTGGGATTAAATACTTTGTTATTTTTTATTTGTTTTTTTTCATGCATTGTAAGACTTTGAGTTTAGATTGGGGTGACAGGAGGTCTGTGCTTTCCGTCTTTGGCTCAGTTGCGCCCATAAATGGATCAGCGAGTCATACTGCTTCTATTGAGGTGGTTGACTCTGAGTCTGTTCGAGGGTCGACGGTTGTCTATGGTCTCTTTGTCTTTTTAGCCCTTATCTGAATGATGTGATATTAATTTAAAGCTTTAAGCCACCTTTCCTTAAAAAAAGAAATTTATGTAGGTAGATCTTACTTGGTAGATAAAGGCTATCCAAATCGAAAAGGATATTTCGTTCCTTATCCCAAGCTACGATATCACTTGGAACAATTTGAAAATGAAGCATCAATAAATGCTCAAGAAACTTTCAATCGCTGGCACTCATCTCTTCATAGTTGCATAGAGCGTTCTTCGGTGTTTTGAAAAAAAACGGAAAATTTAATCAAGAATGCCTATGTTTAGCGTTAAAACGCAGATAGTTGTTATTATGGCAACATTTGCTTTGCACAATTACATTCGCAAATTCTCTAGCGATGACTTAATGTTTGAGGTTCTCAAGCGCCATCCAAATTTCATACCACGGGATGATCTTGTTGATATTCAGAACTCGACTTCAAGTACTACCAATTCATAAACGGAAGGCTCCAGTGAGATGAAGGAACTTCGCAACAATATAACATCCTTGATATGAGCCAACAGAAATGAAATATTTCCACTCTGATAAGTCAATTATGACAATGTTCATGTTTACACATTTTATCTTTTACAACTATTTCAAATTGAAATGTAAATTTTATGGTTTTTCATTTCTTATCGCATTATCGCATATATAAATGTTGTGGATTTATTTGAACTCAATGCACTAGGTTGTGTGTATATAAGTATTATATTACATTACATATATACACACACACATATATTAAAAGGCTCATCATCATTACCCAATACCGCAAAAGCTCTCACATATGGTGGGGTAAGGGGGAGCCGAATGTACACATTCTTCTCTTGTACTAAAACACAAAGAGACTGTATTCGGATGACCTATAGGGAAAATCGCGTCAAACATTGCATGGACTGACTGCTGCTTCATAATAAAGAAACACAACAATTTAGTGAGTCATTTTGTTTTATTTCATCATATTCTCAAGCCAACAAATAACGAGTCTTTGGCTCCATTGCAAATGATGGAAATATATTAAAAGGCTGAAAATATAAAAATCATTATAATAAATATTTTAATATAGGAAAAATTACTTCAAATAATACCAACTATCATCCATAAACCAATAATAATACATAATTTGAAAATGATTTTTAATAATACCAACTATTTGAATGTAAAACAAAAATATTATGGAGTCACTTTTTGACAAGAAATCTGAAAATTTAAGACATCAAAAACTAATTGCAACCCATCAAATAAATGATATTTGGAACTACATTCACTTATTAGTTATTTTGATACAAGTTTTGGATAAGTTAAATAGCCAAATTTTTAGTAAAAAATTGCTCTATATCACTTTCAGTCTATATTTAAATAGTTGGTATTATTGAAACTTATTTCTAAAGTACATATTATTCTTGGTTCATGAAAGATAGTTTGTATTATTTAAAGTTATTTTCTCTTTAATATATTAATAAATCATATGCCTTTTAATGTAATTTCATGTGATCTCGGTACTTTTTCATCTCTTTTTGTCAAACGGGTCTACTCCATTAGCTAACGGTTCAGATTCAACACTTCAAAGTTCGGCTTCAGACAATAGTCTCTGGTTTAGACAATAGTCTCTAGTTCAAACTTTATTGCCCTTAAACCTCCTTTTATGATTTGGCATAAAAAAGGGGGAGTGTAATGTCGATTTATGGAGCAACACTCCAAGCTAGAGTTCTTTTTTTGTCTTCTGTTCCTGCGTGTAGCAGCTCTCAGACCTTAAATTTGGGTTCATATTGTTATTGTGGGTGGCTTAACAATCTGTCCAGGAAGGAAGCTTAAGGGCTGTTTATTTTCGACTTAATGGACTTAATGGCAATGACAACTTAATCATTCAGCCATTAAGTCATGTTTACTTACAACTTAATTGAAAACATGACTTAGTCATTCACTCAAAAAACTGACTTAGTCATTAAGTTGGAGAATAGTAGTCTTTGCCATTAAGACGTCTATTAAGATGTTTTTTCCGTCAATTTATTCAAATTGATTGTAGAATAGATTTATATTAATAAATGAAGTTTTTCATTGACATTATAATATAAGAATAATATTAAATTGATTATTTTACTCGATTCAAACTGTTTATTCAGTATACAAAATAAATAGGCTCATATACAATATCACTTAATCCATATCACTTAGGATGTTTTCTTTTGGACTGAAATTTGCTGGTCTGGTCTGATCTGGTAAACGTCTGGTCTCTGTGTATTTTACAACTAAAGAAGTCAGGTCTGATCTGATCTGATATGGTCTGGGACTGAAAACAGTCCAAAAGAAAACATCCTTAACCCAGACAAACGTCTTAATCCAGATAGGACTTAATAGAACAAAAATTTAATGTGCTTATCTTTAAACTTCCCCCCGGTGTAACTTAAGTTTTCCTGATATGAATTCATAATGTTGGAATTGGTTTATTTTAGTTCCTAGGTTGGGATTCTGTTTTAAATGAAGGAGCAGTAGCTTCATTCCAGTAGTTCCAGTACAATTCTATTACCTAAGGTTTTAGCTTTAGATTTTTTGGGCAAAACTCCATGGAAGAATATGAGTTTCGCTTCTATGTGTGGGTTCCAAACTAGAGGATTTGTTATTATTATTATTATTATTATTATTATTATTGTGGGTTATGATTAAAAGAGAGAAATTTCCGATTTTGCAATTCATTTGTTTAATTAAAGATTTAAGAGAAGAGCTTATCGTGATATATGTTATCAAAGGTGTCACACTTATTTTGGTAAGTTCACTACCACCTATACCACCTATACATGTTTGTTCAACCAAAAGAAAGAAAGAAGTCTCGTTGATTTTGAAAAGATGATTTTAGACTATTTGCTATTATTATGTGAGCTTGTTGAATTATTCAATGAGTTGTTTCATTTGTTGTTTTGAGTTATGTTAATTATCTCGCATCGTCAAGATTATATCAATTGTTTTATTTTCAGATTCTAGCGATGTTTTTATTCAAACGTCACCATGTAAAGAAGTAATATTTTAAGTGAAAGATTAAGTGATATCTACTCGGTAACAAGTTCCCACATAGTTTCAGAGAGTACACAAACCTGATCCTCAAGAAGTATTCCTGCATAACCTAAGCGAATATACCCTTTGACAGTTCTCTTGACATTCATGGCATTACCATACCCATTGTCCGCATCTCCAATTAAGGGTATGGAAACAGCACGTGCGATTTCTTGTCCCGCAGACACCATCTCCCCATAAGTTATTAGCCCCGTATCTGGCAAGCCCAACTGAGCAGCAGATATTCCAAAACCTTGTGAAAGCATTAGTGTTCATCAGATTGAGTGAAGATCTATGAGCACAAATGATCACCAAACTCTTTTTTTGTTTCGTTTCATTACTTAATGATACAAAATGCATTGAACAACCAACCATGATTGAGGTGTCCTGTGCTCCTCACAAAACAGATCTTTTGAGAAATTATAAATGAACAAGCTAATCACGTGACTATAAAGTACTCTCACCGTTCCAAAATAAGTGTTCATTATCTACATGCATTTTGTGTTGCCCTCTCTATTTACAATTACAATAGGGGTATATTAGAAGAAACATATTGATTCTCACATTCACAGCCACAGTTTTTGTCAAATTACCATTTTTAATAGAGGTAGCAAAAACTAAAAAAATGTTCGAAACTTGGAATTATATGCTATACATCCTATATACTTAATAGGAATACAAATGCATCTGCACCCTTCATTTTAAAATCATCTGCACGGTTCAGATTTTTCCTTCACTTTCTCTTTTTTACTTTCGGTATCTTTCATTCACCTACCCCTCAAATGAACTTTACTCTTCTTTTCATTTCTTTTCCACCATTCATCACCGACCCTCCATCACCATCCCTCATATTTCATTCCCACCATGCTTTTCTTCAGTTCTGCGATTTTCATTGTTGTTGCTTCCATCGCTGCAAGGAGCGCAGAGGAGGGTGTAAGCATTCGTTCCCGGAATGAAAGCTTATCACCACGAGATCCGCCGGCTCAAAAAGAAGAAGGTCGTCGCCGCAATGAAACTCCACTGCCACATCCGCCGCCTCCACCAACACCTTCGACGCCAGGATTATGTAGAGGTGAATATCCGAATTTAGTCAATTTCCAGTTCGAATTATAAAAAATTCTTCACTTTTAAAGCTACTTAATAAAAAAAATAGTTCATTCAAATCAAGATTACTGCCCAACAAATCAACCTGATTATGATTTGAGTAATTCGAAGACCTTTTTAATGGTTTTTTCTATCTTTTAAACATCTTGAAATTTCCAATCCAAGAGATACAATTTCAAATGTAATTTATTCCCAGATTCTGTTTTTAGAAGAATGTATTAGCTTCTTATAATAGGAGGACCTGCTTATGTTTTCCTTTATTTATTTTAATTATCTTAAAACTTCCCATTATTCATCCCACACTGATATTATAAATTTATAATCTTCTAGACTTGCAAGGAGACCATCCGTACTTATCTCTCTCAGTACTTATCTCTTTCTCTCCCGATAATTATCTCTCTGCTAACCGATTTTATTTCACTTGAAGTGTCCTACACCAACTCTACCTATATAGTTTTCCCGTAGCTCTATATAATACCCGTTTCTCTAAATTCAGTCATCCAGACCCCTTTAGTTCCCACACCCCTTTACTTCACAAAACAATGGCTCCCGTGAAAAAATTTCTAGATGACGTCACACTCCAACTCCAACGTGGAGAAGCCTTTTTATTACGCGTAGTTCGTAAGTGGATGGTGCCATATGATGATCCACACAAGGGCAATAAATCCATGGAATTGGTTTTAGTTGATGAGAAGGTAACAATTGGAATATCTAAAAGTTCTGAAATATGTTTTAGTAACTTTTATTCATAGTATCTGTATTGCAGTGATGATATGATTTTGGTTTATATGTGATGCTATTCCTAATGAATGCATATGTTTTTAATGAACATATATTTTCTGTATTAAAATTGGGTAGAAGCCAGTTTTCATGTATCTATTATCATCTTATTCTACACATCGTTTATGGAAATTTTTATCCAAATGATAATTATTCGTAATGATCTCTGGAATATTTTTATAGAAAGTTCGCATTCAAGCATCAATATCCCGTTCAGAAATCCAACTATTTGAAGGCCAGTTGGAAGAAGGTGGGTTGTATGCAATGTGTAATTTCACTGTCAAGGCCAATAATGGAAAATGGAGACCGGCATCACACCCTTTCAGGTTACAATTCCATGAAGGAACTAAGGTTAAACTTCAGGCAGTAAAAGACCACAAGGACTTTCCCCTAGAAATTTATAATTTTACATGTTTCAATGATATTCACAACCACCCTGCAGTTGGTGCTCCAGATCTCATTGGTAAGAGTTTAGTAATATAATAATTCTTATACATGTAACTTTATAATAAACTCAAATCATATAACTGCATCTATATGTGCTCACCTAATTGTTTTTCTATTTCTTATTTTTAGATATAATTGGTGTGTATGATTCCCGTGACAAATTCAATAAGTATTACACCGAGGCAGGATCAACATACACTAACTTTTATATTCGGGACATCCAGTTAAGTATATCAAAATGGCACCCTTTCCAATTGTATGTTATTAAGATTATCTATATTTATCTCTCATGCTCATTTTCACGGTTATCTTCTTCCTTTATAGGAATAAGAGGCTCTTTTGTACTTTATGGAACGTGTATGTTGACCAGTTTGAGACCTACTTTTCTCTACCAAGAGCGAATCCAGTTGTTGTCTTGCTACAGATGTGCCGCATCAATCCAAAATATGGTTAATTACATTCATCTATTGCTTAGAATTCAACATTATTTTTACCTGTATAGTTTATCAGTTGGTATAAAACATATGCAAATATATGGATGTTTTAGGCGGATGTTCCTCAAACGGTGTAGCTACATCTTACCATGTGACAAAACTTCTTCTAGATGCACATGTCCCAGAAATAGAAGACTTTCGGCTTAGGTAACCTGCTATCTAAAACAGTTTTGTGTTAGTTGGGACTTCCGACATGTATTAATCTGAAGTCTATTCTAGAACCATGTCAAGTTAAAAATGTACTAAAATTTTTCTGTTGGTAATAGGTATCTGGAAGCCACCCGTAACAGTTCTCAAACAATAAGTCACAGTTCCTCTTCTGGTCCTGTAACTGTTGGTAGCGGTACAGAAATTGGCTTCACAATTCCATTGTCTGAATTAGGGAAAGCAGTAGAGGTAAACCAAAATACATTTTTAACTTTTTATTCTACTTTGAAATGAAATTTGTACAACTTATTGAAATTAGAATGAACATCAATCCCTTAAAAAGTAATAAATCATTATAAGCTCTGTTTTTTGAGTATGTATACTGATGTGTCTATTGCACATAAATTTACCCGCTGAAATTTTGCCTATAGCTAATGTGTACACTTTTATGTGATAACAGGTTCGTGGTTGTTGGTTCTATGGTCAAATAAGTTCCATAACAAGTCATTTCACTTGGGCTTACCTTGGCTGTAAAATGGCCAAATGTTATAAAAAATTGACCAAGGCTGGGAGTGGAGAATTAGTATGCGACAATTGTGGGGTTCAAGTTGCTGATGGCGAGGGTGTTTGGAGATACAATTTAAGGCTCAAGGTTAACCATAACAATAGTTATGCAAATTTGGTTTTCTGGGATGCTTTGTGCAATCGTTTGATTGGAAAATCTGCTGGAGATTTCCCCAGTCATTACTATGACATGGTAATGCTGCCTCACACTATCCTTATTCTTCACAATTTTGAATCATAAGAATTGCATATTCCTTTGATTTTGTATTACATTTATTAATATGAATAAATGTGACTTGAATATGTGTAATTGCTCTGCATGTGTAGGAGAGGCTGTCACCTTCGGGCTGCCCAGATGAAATAAAGGAGTTGGTAGGTCGTGAGTTTGTCTTTAAAGTTGACCGCCAGTCAGGCTCCACTTTAAACGGAAAGAGTTATTCCATTGGTATGGTCTCAACTGATCAAGATAAAATCGATGAGCTTAAGTCTGTTGGAGCCAACCAGTCTGACAAACAGGTACAATTCTTTGTAATCTTAGGCTGACCATGTTACACAAGATGTTCATTTAGATGATAAACAGCTCTTTCAATGAATGGTATTGAGAAGCAGAATTGGCATTTAAATTTGAAATCTAATTCTCATTACAACGACAACCATAATTTGTCACTCATTTATTTATTTGAAAAATATAAGTTTATTAGCACAAAAAGTGTGAGCTAAAAGATAATAACTGAATATTAATTGCCATATATATCCGTAATCAACAAATTATGATTACTTTAGGACTGAATAGGGACTAAATTGAAAAATTGAGGTCCACGATCTGTCTTAGTTAAAAGCTTAATTCTTGTGAAAAAAATATGGTATAAGGCCTGTAAAATACTATCCAAGTGTTTAAAATTGTTTTTGAAAGGATATCAATACACCTTATGCACATGAAGCACCCAAATGACAAACTGCATTTAACACAACCAAACTTCTATACAACTAAATACCCAGAATGAAATCTTCTCTTTTCATTATTTCAATGTAACTAAATCAAACTTTTCTGTGATCAAATTGCCACCACTGACCAATTAGTTATCTAACCACTTACTAAATAGGTATCAAATGACATATTCAGATGTACAGTTCAAAAAATATTCTTGGCAAAGATTCCTTAAAGACTGATTGTTATTTTTATAATAATTTAATGAATGTTTTCTAGAGCAGGGTTATTGATTATTCAATGCTCTTATAATTTAACGTGAATTTCATTTGTGGATGTTCAGGACTATAACTCTGATGAGGATCTTGATAAACTTTTTTCTTCTCCGGTCACGGTTGAATCTAACATAGTAAGTACTTATTGTTTATTTATCCAAATATGTTTGGCTGATCACTTCTAATTCAAAAATGTTTGCATGTAGACACCATCCTCAACGGAAGACGACATAATAATACAAACAACCCCTTCTTCAACATCAAAGAGGCCTACCAGTGAACAACATGTTGACTCTTCTGCACAGAGTTCAACAAATAAGAAATTCAAGGGCATCAAAATTGAAAAGCCAGATGCTTGAGCCTATCTTTTCTTTTTCTGAGTTCTTTTACTTTTGGGAATTGATGTTATTTATTTTGTGTTTTAGTATGTTAGCTTCTATTTCGTACATTAGGTATCAATAAGCCAAGCTAGACTGGCATCATTCTTTTCATTCATGTACTACGTATTATTTTCAGGCATTGCTGCTGGTTTTTAATTACGTACATTTCGTGTTTGAACTATAAGTCATTTCTTAATTATAAATTATATTTTTCTACTCTTCTTGAAATCGCTTTATATATTAATCATGTTATATTATCTGTATTTATCTTTCATGATTACTGTATTTAACTATATATGAGAAGCGTGAAAATGAACGTGAAAGACAATATATAGATAATAAAATTATAGAGTTGTATTGCATTTCCCTACCCCTTTCAAAATAGAATTATTTATATTAATAATAGTAGTAATAGTAATAATAAAAATAATATTAATAATAATCATAATAATAATAATGATAATAAAACCATTGGCCAACTTATTTATTTTAACATCCATTATATCAATAAAAATAAGCAAAATGCCTTTCAATCATTTAATGATTACCTAGCTTAAACATTTAAGCCTATTAGCCGTATTAGACTATTAGGCCATTAAATGAAACTCTAGCTTCAACTTATTAGACAATATATACTTATATAGGAACATACGTAATTGAGGTATTAAAAAAACTCAAATGAGTCTTTGGATAACTATGATCTTATTTGTATTTCACTTCAACTATACTACTACTACGTATTAATTAAAGATAAGGTTAAATGAGTAGAGTGATCTACTATAATTCTATCACACCCCTATATATACCTTTGTTGTATATTCATAACAACACAACACGTATCAATTGAAAAGGTGTTTCTTTCATATTCCTTTGTTATCAACTTTTGTTAACAAAGATATACTATGAAGGCTTGCTATTTTAATATAATACATCACGCATAGTCTGAATGACTACATGACCAACCTTGCTCCCTTGCGGTAACAATATGTTAAGTGTCGTTTTTTATCCTATGCTATCAAGGCTTACACTTTGGCTGATACTTTGATATTACAAGGTTAGTTATACTGACTTGGTTTAGATATAATTGATTTTGTTTACTACCATTGTTGCTGAACCAGAAATTAATTTTATTTTAGACAAAATTCAACTCTTATACAAAATCTCATACACATTCTTTATTAAAAATAAAAACAATACTTCCTTAATATTGCAGTTATGATATATTTGAAAAACAAACTGTTATTTATTGTCATGTTAGTTATCAATTTTGTTAGATATGTGATTAGTGCATTTTTAAATTGTTATTCACCTTCTTTAACTTCTTCCCTAGGATGTATGCTATCAGAATCCATTGTTTTTTACTTAATTAAGATATATTTCATCAAGAGTTGTAGGTATATTAACTTAGACACTAAACTAGAAATAGCTCTATTATAATGGCACTCTAATTATGACACTACGATACAATTAGACAGCAGATAAAGAACAAATAAGAGTTCTATCTGAAGTACACGTCTACCCAAAATAATAGTAGATAATATTTGTATCCTTAATCTGACTACATCTATAATATTTGTATATATATATATATATATTTCAAGTATAATTGAACATGAAAGTTGCTTATATATTATTAGTAACTAAGTATATTTGAAATATAAGTGACTCCAGAATACAAATTATGACATATACGACCTTTCTATTAATTTCAGAAAAAATATGAATATAATAATAATAAACTTTTGTCATCCGTAACACAAGGATGCTTATTGGTAGTGGTGTAGTAGAAAACAAATTGAGAACTCTCAAGAGAAACTTTATTTATTGATAGTGTATAAAAATCACTAATTAATTTTGGTGTTCAATTTAAAGTACCAAACAATGTACACATTAAATCACAAATAAAATCATTAAGTAAAATGATTTTCTTTGTAATCTTTGGTAGACGTATTTTTAATTACAAAAAAAAAAGATTAAAAGTAGCATTACATTTTAGACTCTTAGTAACTGCATGCTATTTCAGTTTACAAGCTACTTTTAACAACACGATGTTTGTGTGTGTTTTTTGTGTATAAACTTGCATTAGGGGTTACATGCAGAAAGCCACGAAAATAATAAATGTCAATGGAAAACGACCACTTGTGAGTGACCAGTCAACATTTGAGGAAGATGTAGCTGGATCTAGCAATTTTGACACTCTTGATTGTGGCATAGACCTAGATAATGAAGGTAAGATAATTTATTAAATAATTTGTCATTCATCTTTTAGTTGTTAGATGTGTTTAATTTATTCAAAGAGATTATACTTACTTCGTTTATTGGAGATAAAATTGTGAAAGAAAATATTATACCTCACTATAATTCAAAGTTTTTTATAAACTACGGTAAAGTGGTAAACTAATATGAGTACCATAAACTTCGTACATTATATACTGTATTTTGGGGTTATACTATATAATAATAACAAACAATCAAATTTGAATATTAATTCACACACACACATGTAAATTCTTAAACACAATAAATATGTATGCATAATTTTTCATGTTTTCAGAGTTTGAAGATGAAGGAATGTTTGATGAGTCAATTGATGTTGACTTGAGTGACTTTGAAGATTACGGTACATAACAATACATTTTCAAACTGTGAACATATATGTTCGCTTGATGTGAAATGTCTTTGTAACCTAAATTGCTAAATTGTTTTTAACTTAATTTTTAATTATTCAATTTTGAACAGATGACAATGCTGAATACTTATGTTTCAATACACAAGGTACTTACCCCTACAAGTATTTTTAAGTATTTCAAACCAAATTTAAATAGTTAAAAACATCTTTATTTTTTTATATTTATTAAGAATCATTTTTGTAGCATATGTGGATCTTGGAGATGCCATTCATGAGTGCGAGTATTGTGGAGCCTTATTCTGGTATGCCGAAAGGGTAAAGAGACATTCCGTCAAGCAACGTCCAAAGTTTTCTATGTGTTGCAATCTAGGAAATGTTGTTCTCCCTAATATGCAGCAACCCCCTAGAATTTTAAATGACCTCATATTTCGCTCTGAGCATCGAAGTAAGCACTTTCTGGACAACATTCGTTCTTACAATTCTATGTTTGCATTCACTTCGATGGGTGGGAGAACAGATACAGATATAAATAAGGGTAGAACACCTCCAATATTCAGATTGAATGGTCAAAATTACCACAAGATCGGTAGTCTTATACCAAATGAAGGACAACGTCCAAAATTCTTACAGATGTATTTGACCGATCCAGAAGAAGAGGTTGAATCTAGAATCTCATCTGTGAGGTTAGTTAATAATTATTATACAATTCTTAGAAAGTTACTCTGCTTTTTTTTAATTAAAAACAAACTCTATTACCTTTAATAACTGAATTGTTTTCTACATTAAAATTTCAATTTCAATATTAATTTTTTTTACTATATTCATTTTAGGCGCTCTGGTGGAACTGCATTGCATGATACATTAGTATCCGATTTGCGAGATATGTTGGATGCGTACAATGTTCACGCACAATCATTTAGGATGGCTCGTGATAGGTTTAATGAAACTAACTCTATCTCTTTGAAGATGAAGCTTATTGGTAAAAGGAATTCAGATGGACGGACTTACAATACCCCTTCCGCTCGTGAGGTAGCCGCACTTATAGAAGGGGACTTTAGTTTAAATCGAAAAGAGAGAGATGTTGTTCTTCAGAAGAAATCCGGAAAGTTTCAAATTATATCGGAACTGAATCCTTCTTTTCTTGGATTACAATATCCATTGCTTTTCCCCTATGGTCAGGATGGTTTTAGAGAGGATGTTAAACTGACACGTGCATCTCAAGCTACCACAAAAGGCAGGAAATATGTTACAATGAAAGAGTTCTTCTCATACAGGTTGCAAGAAAGGAAGGGGGAATCCCCTTACATATTGAGATCGAAGAGATTATTCCAGCAATTTATTGTTGACGGATATACCATGATTGAGTCATGTCGCTTGGCATATATTAGGCTACATCAAAAGGACTTGCGAAGTGAACTGTATACAGGATTGGCTGATGCTGTAAGTCGTGGTGAAACTGACGGTTCAAGGTTGGGACAACTCATCGTACTTCCTAACTCATTCACGGGAAGTGCACGTTACATGATTCAAAACTACCAGGATGCGATGAGCATCTGCAGGTGGACAGGATATCCACAGCTCTTCATCACGTTTACATGTAACCCAAAGTGGCCTGAGATTGTTCGTTACGTCGAGTGTAGAGGACTTGCTCCGGAAGATCGTCCAGATATCATTTGTAGAATCTTCAAGATCAAACTTGAAATGCTTATAAAAGACTTGAAAGAAAATAAGCTTTTCGGTGAAGTTAAAGCAGGTATGAGCTGATTCTATTTATTACTTAGTCAAGTTTTATTTAATAATTACATTACTATTAATATTTTCTCTAATATAAACAACTATAATTTCATCCTATTACAAAATAACACATAATTCATTTTATCCAATGTAGTTGTATACACTGTGGAGTTTCAGAAACGTGGATTGCCACATGCTCATATTGTTTTATGGTTGACACGAAGAGACACAGTTATATTGGCATCACACATTGACAGCATTATCTCAGCTGAGATTCCGGATGAGAAACATGACCATGATTATTATGTTGCTGTCAAAGAGTTAATGGTGCATGGGCCTTGTGGGCCTTTGAACAAATCTTCACCGTGTATGGAGAATGGTCGCTGCACGAAACACTTTCCAAAGAAATTTGTGAGACGTACCACAATTGATGGAAGTGGATTTCCTATTTACAGAAGAAGAGAAAATGGAAGGAGTGTAATGAAGAATGAGACTCCCCTTGACAATAGATTTGTCATCCCCCATAACCGTACACTATTGCTCAAGTATGGGGCTCACATCAATGTTGAGTGGTGTAACCAAACTCGGGCAGTGAAATACCTCTTCAAGTACATTAATAAGGGTAATGATCGGATCACGGTAGCATTCTCTGAGGCATCCGACAACCGTAAGCCAGAAAAGGTTGATGAGATAAAAATGTATTACGATTGTCGATATATCTCTGCATGTGAAGCGGCTTGGAGAATCTTTGGATTCCACATTCATTATAGGGACGTCGCAGTTGAACGTCTAAGCTTTCATCTCCCGGGACAACATAGTGTGTGCTATAATCCTAAAGAGTCTGTCAGTTCTGTTCTTAGACGTCCTACCATCCACACTACTAAGTTTCTAGCTTGGATGCATGCAAACAGTGTATATCCTCAAGCTAGGAGCTTGACTTATGCTGAATTTCCTACCAAGTTCACGTGGAAAGCCAAAACAAGAGAGTGGGTACCAAGACAAAGAAGCACCACAATCGGAAGACTGTACTTCATGCGACCTGGAGCGGGAGAGAAATATTATTTAAGGATGCTCCTTGGTGTCGTGAAGGGGGCTAGGAGTTTTGAAGAAATCAGGACAGTTGATGGAGTCGTACACTCAACGTTCAGAGAAGCTTGCTGTGCCCGTAGTATGTTAAATGACGATAAAGATTATATAGATGGACTCATAGAACAAAGCCATTGGGCAACGGGGCATGAACTTCGCATCACATTTGTTCATCTTTTACTACAAGAGTCATTATCTCTGCCCAGTATGGTTTGGGAGAAGTGTTGGCCCTATATGTCTGATGATATACTCTACACTATTAGGAAGAATCTCAATGATCAAGGTATGTTTATTATTTAATGACATTCCTTAAATTTAGATTAATTTAATAAATGCCAATATTAAGAGTGAAGTATATATACAATAAGCAAGATATTTTGAAATTAAAATTTACCTTTTCATACATATTATATTTAAAGATAATTATTTTCTAATATCAAATATTTGACTTTTTATCGTAATCAATTTCATATTAACATTTACTCTTATATATGTCATAGATAGTTTTTAAATACAAAGGACTCCTCATAAAAAGTCTTCATAAATAGTTCAATATATATATATATATAATTTAATAAACTACGTAGAATTTTTTAATATAGTACTCCCTTCGTCCCATTTATATTGTCCGGTTTTACTTTTTCGCGAAGTCCCACTTAAATTGTCTCATACCATATTTGTCAAAGTTTGTGTGGTTCTAGATCATTCTTACTTTATCAATTAATATCAACTACACAAACTCACTTATCTTAATAACCGTGCCACCCTCTTCCGGCACAATATAAATGGGACGGAGGTAGTAGTTGGTTTAATAATTTGTTTCTTACAACATCACATTTACAGATGTATTGATTGTTTATAATACGAAAAAATTCAATTATTTAACCAAATAAATTTAAAAAATTTGAAAATTTGAAAAATTTGAAAAACAGAAAAAATTTTAAAAAATTTGAAAAATTTGAAAATTTCAAATTTGAACATTTAAAAATTTAAAATTTGAATTGGGCCATTTTTTAACAGAATTGCAGCTGGATGAGGAGCAAATAAAGAATTATTGTTTGCTGGAAATTGAAAAACTTCTACAACATCGTGGAAAGTCTCTATTCTACTATGACGGAATGCCTCGAGTAACGGATCTTGAAATTCCTTCTCTTGATGATGTTTTGATACACGAGGAATTGAGATATGACAGGAATGCTTTAGCGGAGGAACATGCTAAATTAATTTCCGCCTTGACGGAGGATCAAAAGCGTGTTTACGAGACAATAGTGAGTTCTGTTGAGGCCAACCGTGGCGGAGTGTTCTTCTTATACGGGCACGGTGGCACAGGGAAAACATATCTATGGAAGACCTTATCAGCATATATAAGGCATCAAGGAAATATTGTGTTGAACGTAGCTTCAAGTGCGATCGCATCATTGCTACTTCCAGGTGGAAGAACGGCACATTCCAGGTCAGTTTTTTTTTTTATTTTAAAACTTATAATCCCAAATAAATACTAAAACAATTAATGTAACTTTCAGGTTTAAAATCCCACTCACAGCAGCAGAAGATTCAACTTGCAACATAAAACCAGGAAGTGCGCTTGCGAAGCTAATTCAAATGACAAAATTGATAATTTGGGATGAGGCACCCATGACCAATAAGTACTGCTATGAAGCTCTTGATCGTACTATGCGCGATATTCTTCGACATTCATACGGTTGTGATGGAATGAAACCTTTTGGTGGAAAGACAATTGTCTTTGGCGGAGACTTTAGACAGATTTTACCAGTAATTCCAAAGGGTAGCAGGCAAGATATTGTACAGGCAACTTTAAACTCATCTTTCATTTGGCCGTTTTGCAATGTGCTAAGGCTAACGAAGAATATGAGAGTGCGATGTGGATCAGACGATCTTAATTCTGCATACATACAGAGATTCATTGATTGGATATTGAAGATAGGGGACGGGGTTCTGGGTGACAATGATGATGGAGAATCATATATTGACATACCCAAAGAATTCCTCGTGCCTTGGATTTCTGATCCAGTTACTTCTATTGTCCACAGTACATATCCCAATTTCTTGGCTCACTGCACATCCCCTTCATATTTAATGTCAAGAGCAATACTTGCACCAACAATAGATGAGGTGGACAAGGTTAATGATTATATGCTCGCACAACTACCATCAGAGATGAAGACATATTTCAGCACTGATTCTGCATCATTATCTGATTCTGATAGTAGTTTGTTGCAGGAGATCCATTCTCCAGAATTCCTTAATGGAATCAAATGTTCCGGAGTACCTTGCCACGAGCTCAAATTAAAAGTGGGTGCCCCTGTGATGCTTATGAGGAATCTTGATCAATCATTGGGTTTGTGTAATGGCACTCGACTTTTAGTTACCAGACTTGGAAAGAATGTTATTGAGGCCCAAATGTTGTCAGGACCAGCTGCCGGACAAAAACATTTCATTCCCCGTCTTACCTTGACTCCTTCTGATGTCAGACTGCCATTCACCTTCCAACGCAGACAATTCCCTCTGATGGTTAGTTATGCGATGACTATAAATAAGAGTCAGGGCCAGTCATTGGAAAATGTGGGGGTATTCTTACGGCGACCGGTTTTCACCCATGGGCAGCTTTACGTTGCTGTATCAAGAGTCACGACTCCGGCTGGTTTGAAGTTTTTGATATGTGACGATAATGGTAGACCAACAAACTCCACATTAAATGTTGTATACAAAGAGGTCTTTAACAATTTGTAATATTACATTTCTTCTTGAATAAAATTGAGAACTTTTTTATTCAAATCAAAAGACAAATGTTATCCATTGATTTAGGAAAATATTAAATTACTATAAAATAATACTACTGTCCATTTAAATGTTATGCATTTATTTATATTACTATCAAATAATTTAAAATGGCCTTTTCACTCCCGTGCAACGCACGGGTGAAAATACTAGTCATACCATGATAATAGTCCTAAAAGGCTAACACAAATACGGAGTACAAAGTAACAAATGATATAAACGAAATTCAGGTAAGCGATATCAGTCATCAGTCAGTTAATCAGGAGGTAGTTGTAGTAGAGGAGAACCAGTGGTGAAGCCGAAATCAAAGCCGGCTCTCTCAACGAGCTTAGCGCTGAGAGCATTGAAGCAGGCGGGGCCCAGATGAATCCCTGGCGACTCTAGGAGATTACGAAGCCTAGTAGCCTTAGAGTCGCCGGATTCAGCGACATATGAAATGGCCTGGATGGAGCTCCTGCCGACATGGCACTCCTTATTAGCAGACTGAGATCTTCCACTTGGCTCTCCATAGAGACGGCCATTGATTCTAATTCCGATTCCAGTCGGGAACCGATAGCATCGCCTCAGCGAGTGAACGGATAGGGAAGAGAAGGGTGGCCCAACTTTGGAATTTGAAATTAGTTCAGAGCAGTTGCAGCTCGCGAGGAAGGAAGTTCCGGCGCTAAACATAGGAATCTGCTTTCCGTTCCGGTGGATTAAGGGAAGAAAAGCATTTTACAGGTCAAAAATGTTTGATGTATAGAAACGGTTTAATTTTTTACTCTTCCTCCTATGGTAATTTTTAAACGAATCAAATAATTTATGCTCAGTTCGTGATTCGAATTAGTATAAATCAAATAAAAATACAAATAAGAATACTAAATTTGATTTGAATTGTTATCAAATATAAATACGAATATCACATACAAATAAGAATACTAAATTTGATTCGAATTGTTATCAAATATAAATACGAATATCACTATATTCGATTCAAATGTTAATCAAATATATTCGATTAATATTAGTGATAATATTAATAATAGTAATAATAATATTCGTAATAACACTATAATAACTTTTAAAAGCTAACTATAACCTCAAAGTGTAGCCCATATATACATTTAGGTATACAAATTCCAAACCAATTTGTAATAAATCAGAAGTAACACAAGGAGTAAGGATTGCGAACGAAACAAATGATTTTAATTTGATTCGTGATTTGGTTTCACAAATTATGATTTAAATTTGAAAGTATAGAATATATTCAATTATCAACTTATTTCACACATTATATGTATAATTTCTAATGTGTGTGTTAATGTTTATTTCAAAAACTTCGAAAAATATTTATGTATAGTAATTATAAAATTGATTCACTTCAGTATATTGTGCACAACCTAAAAATGCATCAAACCATTAAATTTTAATGAAAAATGTAATGTTACAAATTAAATTCTAAAACACATATTAAGTCATAACATGCATTTATAACATAAGAAATATGGGTAAAGTTGTTTTAAAGTGATATTTGACTAATATTTAACTTATGATCAAATTGATTCGATATTCGTATATGATTCGTTAACTGTTCATATTGTTAAACAAATACAAATACAAAACGAAAATAATATTCATTTCATATTCGAATTTGTATTCGGAAAAATTAAACAAATACAAATAAAAAATCGCACTATTCGACTCGATTCGATTCGTATACAACCCTTGGTAGGACACAAACTTCACACGAGTATTGAATCTGTATTCGTAATTTAATAAAAATATTAGACTTGTTTTTAAAAAATATAAAAACTTCTGATGCTAGAAACCGTGGACGAATACACATATCTAACTCTATAATCCTGATTTCATACACGCTTGATAAAAATAGAGTAGTCGCTCAAGCGGCCACATCTCTTCACTCCTCAATATTAATTATCATTCTTCAAGTGCAACTCTTACCAAGTAAAGTAGCATTCTTCTTCTTATCTCACACGCTTAGTAAATTTCAATTCAGACTTCTAAATCAATTGTGTTTGATATAAGAGTGAAACATAAGCTTTGACATTGATGGAGATGATTTTGAGAGTATGGAAGATATTGGAATACTTGAGTTTGCCCATGTATCCCTTGATTAGCCTGAATTGGAATTAATCTTCTTAAAATACTTATTTTAAATTGGAATATATAGTACTTTAATTTACTTTTTGGTTTAATCTTTTAAATTTTATTATGCTTGTTAACTTTTTGGTGTAGAGGCTAATTTTAATTTTATTAGCCTGATTATATATGTTTGCAAATTCCACGCAATATTATATTACTATTATTATTAATATTTTTATATATACACCTGTACATGTATTCTATAATTTCCAAAATTTGACATATTCTCGTACCCGTATTGGCATATCAGCGTATCGGTGTATCCGTATCCGTGCAACATAGGTCTCTACACTCTATGATACGAACATACACCCTCTTTCTTCTTTCTTCATTTTTTCTCTTTTTCCGTTCTCTCTTTTTCTTTCTTCTTACCTACTATTCATACCTCATTTTCACCATCATCTTCCATCATCGTCTCCACTTTTACTTGTGTGTACGTATCGAGGAAAAAATGATGTTTGAATGTCATCGTAAAATTAGATTTGAAGGGTCGCCGAAATATTTCTATGTGTGGAATATAAAATGTCATATGTTTTGTGCTTAATGATGATATATTTTGTCTGTATGAAAAATTGAAATTGAATGATCATTAATATATTGTAAAATTCAACCACAAACAAAAAATGTTTGCAGAAAAGTCAGAGTTTGGTTGAATGGGAATGAATATCGATCTGACAAAAAGTACAAGTACAAAACATTTCCAATGTTTGTGTACATAGACAAATATGTACGAGTACATGCTCTTTTTGTTTGAATATAGACAACAAGTGTCTATACACATGGTCATTGGTTCCCATGTAACCTAAGCATGACATTTCAGCAAAAGAAACACGCAAATCACTGTGATTTACTCGCAAACTTGTGTTTTTATGTGGACAAAGATGTGTTTGTGCACACTTACTTTTGTCTCTGTGCAGACATGTTTAGAAAACTTTAAATCAGTATAATTTGCCGCTCCAACCCCATATTGGTAGGGGCGACGGAAAATCTCAATCCCTGTAAAGAGGGGAGACAGCCGCTAGGGTTCCTCTCTCACTAGAGAGAAGAGGATTAGATCAGATTCAAAAAGACAAAATAAGAACAAATGTTATGAAATCTATATCTATCTATATCTATATCTATATCTATATACTCCCTCCGTCCCACTATTAAATTCTCATTCACTATTCCAGTGGTCAACTTAAATCACTCTTAATCTTTTACTTTATGTATCAAAATTTTATCGAACTTAAATTTTCTTTATCAGACTTTGTAGCGGTTTTAATGAAGTTTCTGAATATGTAAATTTTATTTACTAAAACAAATCTGAGTGTGAACAGGGATTGAGTTGCTTTTTCGGCAGTCAAACCTCGTAAACAGCAATGAGAATTTAATAGCGGGACGGAGGGAGTATTAATTAACTCACTTAAGTGAGACTCCAGCCTAAAGTTTGGGGCATTTTCGTAACTCTGTTTCCACACTAGTCTTTACTTTCTGCCCTTCCTATTGAAATCTCCTCCGACCTAGATAGCTTTACTCCAACAACTGCGTTCATCTATCTTTGTACTTCCACACCGGAACAAAACTTGACATACACCTCTACCTCTTTTGCCGATTTTTCTTTTCCTTCTTCCTTCATCATATGCGCCCAATCGAAAAAGGAAGCATCCCACTTCTGAAGCTCTTTCAAGCTAATCTGAATTAGGAGTAAATTC